ATCTTTATCGGTGTGTTAAAATCTGTCGCAACTGTAGTACAGCGTATGCGGGATTGAGGACGTCGAATAACAACACTTAGTAATATCACGTACTTACAAATGATGATATGCTTTTAATCAATTGCTCATCCGCGTTAGTTTCCGCGATTTCTTTTCCCGAATCAGTTTCCTCGCAAATCTCTCTGACGAATCGGACATTTCATACATACTGAATTTTTTCCATCGCAACGCCGCGTTTTTTTTCTTCATTTCTTCCGACGTCTAAACAGTGATGAAATACACAGTTTTTTTGTTTTTGTTTTGTATGTGTTCCGACAAATATAAAATATATTGGACATGCGTGTATATCGCGAGCGTAAAAGGAGATGCGTTTGTCTGAGGATCGAAAAGTAATTCAAGAAAATCGAGAATTTTCACACTTTCGTCGCGCAATATACATATATATATAATATACACGATTTTTAATAAAATTCCAAAAAGTTACCATCTCTCCTTGTATCGTCGTACGGCGATAATTGTGCAAAAGTAGTGCTGTACTTTAATAAATGATATGAGAGCCTCAAGGAATTGTGTTTTTTTTTTTTTTTTAACAATTGTTCAGCGAGATATTGCTTACGTCCGAAATGTGAGCGTTCGAGAGATATTTGATTATTATTCAGTTACTTCAGTGTAATACTTTCGTTTTTTTTTTTTTTGCTTTTACACGCCGGACTGAAATTGTTTAATTATTGACTAGAATTCTATATATGGACACCGGAATATGAGACACAAACATTAAACACGTGTGTATCGTCTATTATACTGAGAATTGTATGCTTCACAAAGTGTCACTCTTCTGTTTCGAGTCGCAAAAAATCCTCCAAAAAATCAATTCCAACACAATCGTAAATTATCGATCTGTCGTTTGACAGCGTGATTGGATTTTGGTCTAAATATCGTGTAAATGAAACATTTTAATTGTATTTATACATGATATATATATATATTTTTTGCCCTGATCGTTTTACTCGACTCTCAAAAAAAAAAAAAAAAAATCACTTTGTTCGATAAGTCATAACTCAGTCATTCCTTGAAAATCTACAAATAAAGATTCTACATTTTAAATACGATAATTCGATAATTTTTTATACATATCTTCGCTTTCTATCCTTTTTTGTTTTTTTTTTTCTTCTAATTTACTGCCCTACAAGTAGTGTTTTACGGATATGTCATTTTTGTTGTTGTTGCGGTAATAAATATTTTCAATGAAACGCAAGTTCAATGAAGCATCGATACGCATTTTTGTGTATGTGCGTGTGTGTGTGTGTGTGTGATATTCGTGTGATACTTTCCTAAATACTTACCGGGATCTATGTGTGAGTGCGAAGTTACATACATATATATATTTTTCGAGACAAAGGACTGGTAACACATCAAGAGTGATTATTACTTGTTTTGGTACTTATCGGTATTTGCTACGAATAAAAAAGACCGCTCGAATTCGACGCGGGAGAGGCGGGAATAAGTTTTTTGTTTTCCCTCGCGAGAGAGAATCTCGCTCGGCGTCTGATTTTCTTCTTTCGCAACGCATTGTCGCGCGTCGATTCGCGCGGTCCTCGTTATCACTTCTTCCTTTTACAGCGGTACACGCAGAAGAACGTTAATCCGTTTATTCGGCGAGAGTTATTTGATTTCAAATTCCATTTCGAGGATTTCGATCGCGCGTTCGAGAGAAAAAAACGCACGCCCGACCGAAAGCGGAAGCCCAAACGGGGACAAAATTAAATTTTGATATCCAAGGCCCATTTTTTTTTTGTTTTTTTTGTTTTTTTTTTTTT